AATATAAATTATTTTTTATAAATTTAAAATATAATTTATATATTCAAATATAGTATTTATTTATATATAAATTATGGTAAATTTTAATTATATATAATAAACATGCATATATATTAGAGAGACTAAAATAATAATAGTTATAAAAGTTATATCAATTTAATTTATTATTATAATAAATTTACTTCATTTAATAATTCATTATCTATATTGAATATTATCGATAAAAATTTTAAGTTAAAAACATATTATATGCTAATTTAAATTTATGTAATAAAATATTAAATATTTTTTTTTAAAATTTGTAAAAATTTATAGACTTTTTATTCATTAAGAACCTTTACAATTATTTCTCATCATTATTTACTTGAATTTTTATATGTATGGGGTTTATTAACCATCCTTAGTTAATTCAATTTTTATTGAATTTTAAAAAGACAATTGCATGTAAATGTTGGTCAAAATTATATGTTGTGAGATGTATTAATACACATTTAGTATAATACAAAATGAATGTTTAAGTTATTAAAAAAATTGTTATGTATATTGTTGGATAAGTAATTGAAAATACAAAAAAAAAAATATTAAATTTATTATAATATTCTTTTTTGAGTAATTAGTATAATTAATTATTATTATCTTAATCAAAATGATGGTCGTAAGAATTGAGATCATGACAACAACATTAGTTATGATGACAATAACTATAATGGTAAAGATAAGGTAGTTGTGATTGATTATGACAATGGTAATAGATAATGATAACAATTAACAATAATAGTAGTAACTCGTCATAGTGATAATAAGAGATATGCTTATACGATTCAATATCATAATAGTAAGTATTTTTGCATATATAATAAAAAAAAATTATCCCATACTTCTTGAGTAACAAAAGAAAAACAAGACTTTTGTCTTATTACTCTTAAGTTTTTTTCTTTTATCTTATCTCGTAACATTTTAAATCAAACACACAAAAAGAATATATTTCTCATATGAAGTAGTTCTTTTAACAAATTAAACATGTCTTGATATTGTTTCCCTTAAAAATCAATTCTCACCTAATTTTAACATATAATGAATACTCATCTATTGGAAACATCGTTTCATGATAAAATTCATTTATTTACCCTCAAAACTTGCTTTAATACAATGACAAAGTTTTCTTTTGTGACTGAATTTAATTCAGAAAGAGAGAAAAACAAATATAACAAGTAATAAATTATGAAAATTTTCATGGTAATCTTTTCCCGATAAAACTTGTTAAGATACTCAATCAGAGATAGAAACTTCCGCAATCAAGTCACTAAAAAAGTGAAATGAAAATAGTCAATACCAGCTTGAGACTCGACCAGAAACCAAAAAAGTCGAAAGAAAATAAAAGGTATATGGATGAATTTGAACAGGTTATCGATTTAGGTAGATTAAAAATATGGTTTAAAATGATTAATTTTGGTCAAATTCAGTTTGAGTTTTTGTACTTATCGGTGTTTAATTACAATTTTCCGTACAAAATAAAAGTCAAAGTAACAAAAGCTAAGTTTATTTTCACTCATCTTTAATCTTTATATTTGATGCATAAAAAACTCTAGTTGAGGTCATAGTTTGAAACTTGAATAATTTTATTCATTTTGAGTTTAAATGAACTAAATAATATTTGAATGATTAAATGTATGATAAATGTGACACCCTCTACCCCAACATAATTACTTAAT